GTTCCGGGATCTTTTCAGTATGCTCTCCAAGGTAAATGTTAACTTGCCCCTCCTTGACGTGATCAAGAATATGCCATCCTATGGGAAGATTTTCAAGGATTTGGTGACCAAGAAGAGGAAGTTCAAGGATGGAGAGAAGGTGGTGGTGTACGAGGCGGCAAGTGCCATGCAGCACGACTTGCCCAAGAAGGAACGGGACCCCGGTGGTTTCATTATTCAGATAGCCTTGGGAAACGGAAAGGTAGCTTCGGGGATGCTAGACCTCGGAGCCGGAATAAACCTCATCTCCTTCTCAATTTTTCAGAGGCTTGGTCTTGGGGAGTTGAGGCCGACCCGCATGTGCCTCCAGTTAGCGGACCGTTCCATACGGTATCCGAAGGGGATAGTCGAGGATGTTCTCGTGAAGGTGGGTAAGCTTATCATTCCTGTCGACTTCGTTGTCTTAGACGTTGGAGATGTGCACGAGAATGGGAAGGATCACACCATCCTTCTCGGGAGACCTTTCATGGCAACCACGAATACACTTATTGATGTGAAGAATGGGACCCTGAACATGACCGTTTTGGGAGAGTCGGTGTCTATTTCCGTTCGAGGAGCCATGTCTGTTTCCTCAGTGAATTTTGTAGAAGAATGTGCTTTTGTTGATCTAGCCGACCCCTTTGTTGAGGAGATGGTCATTCACGAGTTCGAGGAGATATCTATGCCGGTTTTTGAGGATGAGGATGAGCCTACAGTTGAGCTCTTTGAAGTGGGAGAAGGCCATTCCCGAGCTGAATCCACACTTGAGCTTAAGGAGCTGCCCAAGCACCTTAAGTATGTCTTTTTGGATGATGCCCAACAGAAACCGGTGATCATTTTTGCTGAGCTTGACCGTGAGGAAGAAGTGGAGCTGATTGCTATGCTCCGGAAGAACCAGAAGGCAATCGGGTGGAGTCTGGGAGACATCAAAGGGATCAGTCCATCTACATGTATGCACCGGATCATCTTGGAGGAGGGAGTCAAGCCATTTCGGGATAGCCAACGTCGGCTAAACCCGAATATGATGGAGGTAGTCAAGAAAGAGGTGTTGAAGCTTTTCTCAGAAGGGATGATCTATCCAGTAGCGAGTAGTGAGTGGGTCAGTCCTATTCATGTGGTGCCCAAGAAGGGGGGCATAACCGTGGTCGAGAACGATAAGAAGGAGTTGGTCCCCACCCGCATCACTACTGGGTGGCGCATGTGTATTGATTATAGGCGACTGAATGCTGTGACAAAGAAGGACCACTTCCCGTTGCCATTCATTGACCAGATCCTTGACCGTCTTTCGGGCCATCAGTTCTACTGCTTTTTGGATGGACTCTCCGGCTACTACCAAGTAGCCATTGCACCTGAGGATCAGCCAAAGACGACTTTCACGTGCCCCTTTGGCACTTTCGCGTTCAGACGGATGCCCTTTGGCCTATGCAATGCACCGGGTACATTTCAGAGGTGCATGTTCTCCATCTTCTCGGACATGCTTGAGGACTGCCTACAGGTATTTATGGATGACTTCTCTATCTTCGGTGATTCATTTTCTCATTGTCTCCATAATTTATCTCGTGTCCTTGAGCGTTGCATTGAGTCTAATTTAACTCTGAGTTGGGAGAAGAGTCATTTCATGGTTAGGAGTGGCGTTGTTTTAGGCCATGTTGTTTCTAGTAGGGGGATGGAGGTAGACAAGGCTAAGATAGATGTTATTGAAAAACTTCCCCCTCCTGTGAATGTTAAGGGGATTAGGAGTTTCTTGGGGCATGCGGGGTTTTATAGGCGTTTTATTAAGGACTTTTCGAAAATTAGTCAACCATTATGCCACTTGCTTGCTCAGGATGTACCATTTATCTTTGATGATGCTTGCTTGAGTGCTTTTAATGAACTAAAGAGCAAGCTTGTGAGTGCCCCTATTGTCATTGCCCCTGATTGGTCTCTTCCTTTTGAAATTATGTGTGATGCATCTAACCTTGCCGTGGGCGCCGTTTTGGGTCAACGAGTTGATAAGTTGCTTAGAGTGATTTATTATGCTAGTTTGACTCTTAATGGGGCCCAACAGAATTACACCACCACCGAGAAGGAACTTCTAGCCGTGGTCTTTACACTAGAAAAATTTAGATCTTATATTTTGGGATCTAAGGTAATTATTCACTCAGACCATGCGGCTTTGAAGTACCTTTTGAGCAAAACTCATTCTAAACCAAGGCTCATTCGGTGGATTTTGTTACTGCAAGAGTTCGATGTAGACATTAGAGATAGGAAAGGTTGGGAGAATGTAGTTGCTGATCACTTGTCACGCATAGTCCCATCTGACTCATCATCTTCATTGATTGTGCATCATTCTATTAATGATAATTTTCCTTATGAGCATGCGCATGAAGTGTCGAAAAGTGCTTGGTATGCTGACATTGTGAATTTTTTGTGTTGTGGGAAACTGCGGCCTGACCTCTCTTCCCAAGAGAGAAAGCGTTTTATTTCTGTGTGTAGGGACTACTTCTGGGATGAGCCGTTTCTTTACAAGATGGGAAAGGACGAGGTGCTTAGGAGATGTGTACCGGAAGAGGAGCAAGTCGATGTCCTTACATTTTGCCATGAGTTTCACTGTGGAGGCCACTTTGGCGGTCAGAAAACCGCCTTTAAGGTACTCCAATCAGGTTTGTTCTGGCCATCACTTTTCAAAGATGCTCACACTTTTTGTCGCTCTTGTGATCGATGCCAAAGAACTGGGAATATAGGTCGCAGAAATGAGATGCCCTTGACTAATAACCTTCAAGTCGAAATTTTTGATGTCTGGGGCATCGATTTTATGGGACCATTTCCTAAGTCTAATGGTTATGAGTACATTTTACTTGCCGTAGATTACGTGTCTAAGTGGGTTGAGGCTATCCCCACAAAGACATGTGATGCTAATATCGTGATCAAGTTTGTGCAAGGGTACATATTGAGTAGGTTTGGGTTCCCACGAGCAATTGTGAGTGATGGAGTGAAGCACTTTTGCAACAAGCTTTTCGAGAAGCTGATGAAGAAGTATTGCATATCACATAAAGTGGCTACTCCCTATCACCCACAAACCTCGGGCCAGGCGGAGACAAGCAATAAGCAGATAAAGACCATTCTAGAGAAGACGGTCAACTCATCAAGGAAGGATTGGTCGAGCCGGCTCGACGACGCCTTGTGGGCCCAACAAACAGCATACAAAGGCGTCCTGGGAATGAGTCCTTTCAGACTCGTCTATGGGAAGTCTTGTCACTTACCAGTGGAGATTGAGCACAAGGCCTTGTGGGCCATTAAGAAGACGAACCTTGATCTGGATGCAGCCGGAAAAGCCAGACTGTTGCAACTATCAGAGTTGGAAGAAAGAAGGAACGACGCATATGAGAATGCCAAGATCTATAAAGACAAGGTAAAGAGTCTTCATGATGCCCATATTGTCAGAAAGGAGCTGGTACCGGGTATGCGTGTTCTCTTGTTCAATTCCCGACTCCGTCTTTTTCTGGGAAAATTGAAGTCCCGGTGGAGTGGCCCATATGTTATTGAGGAGGTGTTGTCTTTTGGGGCCATTCGACTTCGCAAATTTCAACTGACTCAAAAGTCGAGAACCACTTCTCGACCAATTCCCGAGGCTGTCTGAAATTCAAAAACCTTTCTTCATCCATTGGCAAGAAGGACCGATCCACAATAGGTTCTTTCTTTTTCTTCCCTCGATCGCCAGCATCATGCTTTTTCTTCATTCGTTCCTCGGCAACAGGAACACTCTCTACACGTCTCTTTCTTGACCGAGTAACGGGCACTTCACGCTCAGCAATAGTCTCTTGGCCACCATCAGGCTCATCCGAAGCTAAGTCGATAATAGGTGGATTCTCTGCTGTAGCCCCAATAACCGGCTCAACTTCAGACGCAGCAGCAGTAGCAGCAGCAATGGCAGCCATCGGACCTTCTGCTGCAATAACCAGAGGATTCGGCTACAGAACCACAATCGCAGCCGCCGACGTCGCACCATCACCAACGTCGGTTTTCGGCGGATTCATAATCGGGTTCTCCAGATAAGCCTTCACCAACTTCTTACGACCCATTCCTGTCAGACGTAATTCTTTACTCTTTCCGACTTTGGTTCTAAGATCCAAATTCGGACTCTTTTGACGAAAAGCTCTAGCGTCACGAACGGTCTTGAAACCGAGAACTCCGAGAAGCGGATAGTACACTGCAATTATGAAACCGAGTTATTATGACATCCAAAAGTTACCGACTTCAAGTAAGATTGAAAGATTCGATTCGAATTTACCTGGTTGAAAAGAACCGTCTAAAATTTCTGGATACAACCCAGCAGCTTTCAGCCTTGAATCCTTTAAAATTAACTTGAAACCGCGCTGTGTTTTCTTGAGTTTGAATAGTTCAGAAATTCTTCCTCTTAAAGTCGCGCTGAGTTCAAGTCCTTTGCTTTTGGCTTCAAACAGTAAAATTGCTGACCTGTTAGTACACAAATAAAAAGCAAGTCAGAACAAACTCGGTTTGCTGGAAGAAAAGACAATACTTACAAACTGCAGAATTAATATTAATCGGAATTGACATTCCATCAATCAAAGGTTTATTGAAATTCGGAGTCTGCCAATCCCCGCCAACCCATAGCCATTCCTCTTGGAACCCATGTAGTGAATCTGGGATTTCTGTGATTAAATCACCAATTTTAAATCCGCTTTGGGGTCTTCCCGCGCAAGCGTAACAAATCAAAGGATCTGCTACTTGCCTATCGGCACATCTCCTAAACGAGTAAAGACTCCTTAATTCTTCAACGGTTGGCATATCCCAACCCTTTTCCTTCAACAATACTAAAAGACCAATGATTCTGTTCCACGAATTGGGCGCTACTTGACACAAACTGATCCCCCAATTCCTTAAATAATCCGTGATTAAAGCGGGAAGCGGAAACCTTAAGCCTGACCTCAATGAGTTGGCAAAAACACCAACACAGCCTGGTGGAGGACACGTTATTCTTTCACCCGGATATGGAGCAAACAGCTTTACCGAAGAAGGAATATAAACTTCTCCTCGAAGCATAACAATGTCGGCATCGGTAAGAATACTCGGTTCGCCCCTATACTCGTCAATTGGCTCAGGCCACCGACGAGCAGGACGTCTCCAGTAATCCGGAAGCGACATAGCGTCCTCTTCAACTCGTTTGTCCTCGTCGATGATATCCCTATTGAGATTTAGTCGCTTTACCAGAAGAGGATCCCACCGATAATACTCGAGAGGCAATTCCAAATCCTCATCGGTTAATATCGGGATATCAGAAATTGTCCGACTACTACTATTCTTAGTTTGAGCAGACATCCTTTCTTTCGAAATCGATGAAATTAAAGGACAACTCAACACAGAACAAAACACAGAAAAATCAGAGAAAAAGCTTACCGGGAACCAAGTATAATCAATCGATGAAGGAATGAAGGAATCACGCAAGTAATGTGAATTGAAGGAAAAGAAACTCAAAAAGCAATGAACAGAGAGATAAGAGCGAAGAATTAGAAGGTGAACAGTAGAGAAACCCTAAACAGTCGCAATCGACACCTATTTAAAGGTTTTGATTTATTACCGTTGGAAAAGTCTCGAAACGGCGCGTGTAACGGACGTATCTTAAAATGGCAAAACAGTAGAGTAATAATTAGTACACGTGGACACGTTCAGAAACGCCATGTCGTTACACATATGTATCCGTTGGACTCATTAAATGCGAATACACCTTTTGAGAGCCGCCATGTCAGACCAAGTACTGTACCAAAAAGGTTACATAAAGCAAAGTGTTCTCATGTCGGTAAACAATGCAAAACAAGTCGGAATAAAGTGGAACAACAGGCGACATCAGCAACTATTTAAAAAGCTTCAAATACTTATTGATGTCGGGGGCCTCACTGTTGATATCAAATCCAGCAGCAGAGATTGAAGATGGAGATTAATCATATTATTGAAGAAATAATTTCGCAAGAAAATAAACTTACTACAAGTCGGTATGTATTGGAACAAATTACCGACTTGTGAAGAATTACCGACCTTCAAAGGTCTTCAAAGAGAACCGCCTTCACAAGAACCGACATCTAAAGCCAACGCAAGTAAACCGACTTTTAGTTCAACCGACTATTATAAAGTTTGAATGTTCCAACAGAAAGTAATCATTAGAAACATCTGATTGGACCAACGCAGCAAAAAGGCAATCATTAATGTTTCCCGCCGCTTCAAGCAAAGCAGCTCAACATTAAATGCATCTTTATCCATTTCGAGCAAGAAGACAAAAGCCACCGTACTATAAATAGCAGAATTTATGATAGTACGAGGATCTTTTCCCATCACATTGTACACGAAACTAAAGACAATCTCGGTTTTCAGCCTAAAACCGACTTCTGTACTCTTGTGATTATAACAAATAAAATCAAATTGAACAATTATCCTAGTTTTCTTGACATCAACTGTATTTAATTTTGAGTTGTTAATTCAAGACAACAACAGTTTGGCGCTAGAGGAAGGGGGCGCACCCTTCTTTTTCTCTTAGTGATTATCTGTCCTGTATATGATATAATACAAGGATGTCAAATTCTGGGCGAAACGAACGTAATCCAGATGCTGGAGTTAATCGTCACCCAACTCACATAACCGGAAATTCAACCGTGCCATCTACATCAATTGATTATTCAGCTTTGTTTCAAGATCCAGAGTTCTTGAAAAATTTAACTGATTTTATGGCACGAACAAGAATAGAACCAACTGCAGCGGTTAATCTTCAAACCCGTCCTGCACCAGTTTTGCAAAGAAATGAAATTCATGTTACATCACATGCAACTTCTCATCCACGTACACATACATCACAACATGATATTGCAACTCAAAATCGTGGAGTAGTTCCTGTACAAACACATATTCCTGAAGCAGTTCGATCAGAAGCAACTGCAGAAAGCCATTCTGGGCATCGACCACGACAGCCTACTCCGTCGTTGCCCGAAATTTTACGACATGACCAGCCTTCTGATTTACGACACGCTCTTGAACAGAATCATACTCGTCGTGGGCAAAATGAATTACGTCGTCTAATCGAAAGAAATCGTTTAAGACGTGAATCAGAAGAGCTGGAGATGCTGAGAAAGAGAATTGTTGAGTTAGAAACTCGGCAAGATGAACATGGAGAATTACCACGACAAATCCCAATTGTTTGTCCCATTTTTGTGTCTTTATTTCATGTTTATTTTCTTTTTGTTTTCCCCCATTTGTAGGTTTTTTGTAGTTTATTTGGTCCATTTCGTTCGTTTTGCGTTTTTGTCTTTAGTTTATATTTTTGTATCTTTTTGCCGTGTTTTGCTTCGTGTTTTTTCTGTATTTGTGTTTTCAGGAGGTAGGTTGTGTCGGTCGAGGATGGAACTGCTTGAGCCGGGACCAGGAAATCGAGAATTCCCGTTGACCGAGCCAAGAAGACGACGAAGAGGACCGAAAAACGGATAGAAACCATGTGCAGAATGAGTCGCGACTCGCGAGTCGTCTCGCGACTCGCGAGTTATGTCGCGACTCGCGACTGTGTCGCGCCTCGCGGGGAAAACTGAGGATTAAGGAGATTTCCGAAGAACGAGTCGCGACTCGCGAGTCAATCTCGCGACTCGCGAGATGAAGTCGCGGCTCGCGAGTCAGGTCGCGACCGAGCCCCTGAATTTAAAGAAGACGACGACGCGCGACTCGCGAGGAAGTCGCGACTCGCGACCCAAGAAAAGTCCATCTCGCGACTCGCGACTTGAGTCGCGAGTCGCAACTTAGTCGGGCGCGAATTTCGAGGTCGGGATTTTTAGACCAGAATTTGACCCTAGGGTTCACTATTCACGATTCCAACTTTGTTTTTACACTCTTTCTCTGGAGAAACTCATTCCTTTTCTTTCTTTTTGCACTTTGATTGGTTTTGGAGATTGAAAAACTCCTTTTCTACGCTTTGGATTTGGATTGTTCATTGGATTTGACATTGGATTCTCTATATAAATCATAAGTTATTTTTCTCAATTCCTTGTTGATGATGATGGTTTGGGTTTGTGTGATTGTTAATGTCGAATTCCATATGAGTAGCTAAATCCACTCGCTAGGGATAGGGGATGATTGATTAGGTTCGTTATAATTGAGTGCTTCTGATTGTTCATGTCTATTCGAGTTGTGTGAACCATAGGGTTAGGAGATTGATCACCTTTCTAGCCTAGATAATCAACGTGTAGAACCGAGAGGGGAGACGTTGGTAGAATTAGGCTCGTTTAGAATAGATTTGTTCGGAAGCGTATAATCTATGAGTTGTTGGAAATGATAGTTAATCGTTAACGTTCACTCTCTTGTTACGAAAAGTTATTGAGAGTGAACCTCTAAACGAAAGACGATTCACTTCCTTTAACCAAGCAATTGAATGCCGGTGATTGTGTTAGAACCGAAAACAATTATTCCCGATTCCCTAGCTCTTTAAATTCTCAGTTAATTCGTTACTGTTCATTTCGTGCTTTATTTAATTTAAAGTTGGTAGTTGATAATTGAAACCCCAAATATTGATAATAGAGTGTTTAGGATTTTTATCTTCTTTTGTGATTGAATAATCGAACAATTATATCCGACTAACCTTCCTTGAGA